AGGGGACACGGGTTCGAGCCCTGGTCAGGGAAGATCTCACATGCCACGGAGCAACTAAGCCCGTGCGCCACAACTACTGAGCCTGCGCTCTAGAGCCTGCGAGCCACAACTACTGAGCCTGCGTGCTGCCACTACTGAAGCCCACGCACCTAGAGCCCGTGCTCCGTGACAAGAGAAGCCACCGCAATGAGAAGCCCGCACACCGCATGGAAGAGGAGTCCCCGCTCACCACAACCAGAGAAAGCCCGTGCGCAGCGACGGAGACCCAACACAGCCAAAAATAAAAATAAATAAAATAAATAAATTTATTTTTTAAAAAAAGACAAAGCAGGATTTTGCTTTAAGATGGGAAGGAAATGCCTTGATGCCTCCAGGTGCCTGGGTCAACAGGTCATCTCGAGAGAACCGGTAATCCTGGAACAAGACCCCTTTGGGGGTGTCTGCCTAGCTTCTAACCTCTTCTCTGAGAACTCCCCTTTCCACCCCAAGAAGGAGAGCTTTTATCATGAAGGGATGTTGGATTTTGTCAAGTGCTTTTTTCTGCATCTCTTGAGATGACCATGTGGGGTTTTTTTACTTTTATTAATCCAAGTGTGTTGCACTGATTGATTTTAAGGTGTTAAACCAACCTTGCGTTCCTAGGAGAGAGCCCACTTGGTCATGGTGTGTAATCCTTTTTATATATTTCTGGATTCAGTCTGCTGCTATTTTGTTGAGGACTTCTGCAAATGCAAATACCTGTGGGGCCAGGCAGTAAAGAAATCAGTGAGATAACTTAGATACAAGAGAGACCCGGAGGGTGCGGCCCTGCTAAAGGGACTCAGCTGTGGCTCATTCTTGCAAGAATATGAGCCCCATATTGCCTTATTTTCGTTTTTGAAGAGAAGCTGGAAATCCAGTTCTTAATGTGAACTGCCCTGATTTTTAATTGCTGGCAACTGATTTTAATTGAATTTTTTGAATAGGGAAACACCAAAATACCAAAAGTTTAAAATAAAATGGAAAGTCCACTTCTCACCCACAGTAGGTATTCACCATTCTCAAATATTTGTTTATCCTCCCAGAGAATTTGAATGCTTTTCTTTCTCACACAGATGGTAGCATATCAGGTACCTTTTCCTCCACTTTGGCTTTTGTGATATCTCCATACCAAGTCACAAAGAACTCCCAATCCATTTTTACATCTTCATAGGATTCCACCCATGCATGCATGTGTGGAGCTACTGTAACTGAACCAATCCCTAACTGATGGATACTTAGGTTCTTTCCAATCTTTTGCTATTTCAATGAGCAGTGAATAAACTTTTGCATTTATTGTTTCTCTTGTGTGTGTATATATATTGGGAGGCTAGATCCCTAGGGGTGGAATTGGGCCCTAGGGGTCTAAGGGTATATACATTTCTAATTTTGATAGGTACTGCCCATGGACCTCCATGAGAATCATGTCCCACCACCAACGTATGAGAATGCACATTTCTTCAAAATTTCACCAACAGTGTCATCAAAAACGTTTTATTTTTGCCTGCATAAGTGAAAACTAATTTCAATATTCTTTATACTTACAGATTGAGGTTGAGTATCTTTTCATATCTTTAAAATGACTTTTGCATTTTCTTTTCTGTGAAATACCTATTCATAACCTTTGCCATTTTTCTGGGGGGTTTCCTCTTATTTATTTGTAAGAGATGTTTATATATTAGGGAGATTACCCCTTTGTAATACAAGCTGCAAATATATTTTCCCAGTTTGTCCTTTGTCTTTTTGGTCATTTGTCTTTTGAATTTGCTTAGGATTTTGTCGTTCTGTTTTAAGATTTTTTTTTTTGGTTGAATTTTCTGTTTGTTTTTGCCATGCAGAGGATTTTAAATTTTTTAATATAATCCAATTCTTCATCTTTTATGGCTTCTGGATTTTTTTTTTATGACTCTCCAATGTTTCTGCCTCCTTATTCTATAAATTCATTTTACACATTTAACTCCTCCTTAATCCATTTGGAATTTTGGAACCGTTCCTGGTGTACAGAATGAGGTATGGAACTCGCTTTATTTTTTCCAGATGGTTACCCAGTTGTCTCAACATGAAAATCATTTTAAAACAGTTCAGGGCAAACCATACAGTTCTGCCAGCCTGTGGGCCACCGTCTTGAAACCTCTTACTTTGAACAGACGTGAAGTTCACATCCACGGGGAAGGTGGGAATGATCGACCAAAGGGCCTTGCTCTTATGAAGACTTGCAATGGCCTATACCCTGGTGCCCCTGTCCAAAAACAGCCACCAATGAAAGAAAAAGAGAAAGAAAACGATCACCCTTTCATAGGCTGCAAAGTGACCCTTGCCGTGGGCTTTGGGTTTGACCCTCCCAAGTCAGCGTCAAGGCTTTCGCTGATTTGCTAGGAGACACATCCGACACTTGCTCTAACGGGGGACACCCATCAGGTCACCTGGCACCAGGACAGAGCACCAGCAGCTCAGAGGACTGAGGTCAGGAATTCCTGGCAGGCTCTGTGTCCTGGCTTTCCCTCCCCTTAAGCGTCTCCAAGTGTCCCTGAAAGTTCATTGTTTGGCACTGCAACTCCAGGAAACTTGGAAAGGCCAGTTCTAGCTCATTAGTCACCTTTTCCCCATAGATACTGTCCTACAACCTTACCCCTCCTCGCTGCCTTGTGGGGGGGGTATCCCCAAAAGAGTCCCAGAACAGCAAAACCAGAGGGTGCGAGTTGGACTCTGGCAGCTCTCACTCTCCTGTGACTCGTTCTTACTCTGAAATGTAAGGCTGTTCTGAAGCCACTCCCTGCTGAGGCTCTTGGATGCCACGAGCCAACTGAGAAACGCAGGACAGTGGGCCTTTCCCCCACCCAGCCTGGTCACCATCACAGCCACCTGTTACCCAGTGCCCATCGCCGGGCCCTGACACAGGTCATCTCATTTCCTCCTCAGTACACCCCAACAGGCAGGTGCCGTTATTCTCTGTCTCTTACTGTGGAAGATCTTACTGAGGCTAGTCTCAGAGAAGGTAAGCAACTAACCCAGGGCCACACAGCTGAGATGTGCAGGAGATGATGGCGCTACCCAGGCAGGTTGACCTCACAGCCTATAAGCTCTTAGTCACGGTCCTGTGGGTCTCTATTTTAGGACACCTCTGTTGCTGTCGCTTAATCCTGTGACATTCCCCTTCACCTCTCCCAGACCCTTGGTTCGGCCTCTGGAAGGAGAAAGAAGCCTGGGCATCTTCAGCAATCAACATATACCCGTTTTTCCAGAAACTGCTGTCCTCACCACTTGTCTGAAAAAGGAACTTTCCATTGAAGCTCTGCTCTCCCTGAGCAGACCAGGGCACGGGGAAGAGCTAAGCTTCCTTCGTTAAAAACAGTCCCTATCAATACATCACGGCCACGACAATGAACGGTCAGCAGCCACTGGGATGCCGCCACAGGCTCAGTGTCCGCCAGGGGAGCCAGGGACAAAGCTGACACGCCGAGTATACACACGCCACTCCGCCTCCAGTTACAAGGTACAGAAGCCGCCGACACCAGCACCGTCTATGCTGTGAGATGTCAGGGTAGTGTTAGTTTGGATGGGGGTGGGGCACTGGCTGGAAGGGAGCACAAGGGGGCTTCTGGGTGCTGATCATGCTTGTGTGTTTCTAGGTCAGGGTGAGGGTTAAGCAGATGTGTTCAGTGTGTGAAAATTCAGTGACCCATACACTTAGGTGCACCTTTCCGCCTGTAAACTTTACTTCAATAATTTAAAATAACGTCTTGACATTTTTAAATAAAGAATTATGTTTACTTTACAACAATTATCTCCGCAAAACGCTGGCTGTACTTGAAACAAGGGGTTCACTTATATCTTTTAGTTCAAAAAATTGTCCTAAGGAACTGCCCTGGTGGCGCAGTGGTTAAGAATCCGCCCGCCAATGCAGGAGACACGGGTTCGAGCCCTGGTCCGGGAAGATCCCACATGCTGCGGAGCAACTAAGCCCGTGCGCCACAGCTACTGAGCCTGTGCTCTAGAGCCCGCGAGCCACAACTACTGAGCCTGAGCCTGTGTGCCACGGCTACTGAAGCCCGCACGGCTAGAGCCCGTGCTCTGCAACAAGAGAAGCCACCACAATGAGAAACCCGTGCACCGCAATGAAGAGTAGCCCCTGCTCGCCGCATCCAGAGAAAAGCCCACGTGTAGCAACGAAGACACAACACAGCCAAAAATAAAATAAATAAAATTAAAAAAAAAGAGAAAAGCCAAGTGATTTGCTTATAAAAAAAAAAAGAATCCGCCTGCTAATGCAGGGGACATGGGTTCGAGCCCTGGTCCGGGAAGATCCCACATGCCGTGGAGCAACTAAGCCCGTGCGCCACAACTACTGAGCCTGCGCTCTAGAGCCCACGAGCCACAACTACTGAGCCCGCGTGCCACAACTACTGAGGCCCGCACGCCTAGAGGCCGTGCTCTGCAACAAGAGAAGCCACCGCAATGAGAAGCCCCTGCACCGCAACAAAGAGTAGCACCCACTCACCGCAACTAGAGAAAGCCCATGGGCAGCAACGAAGACCCAATGCAGCCAAAAATAAATAAAATTTAAAAAACTTGTTCTAAAATTGGCAAGACTCAACTCTTTGTTTTGCTTTGGTACCACTATCTCACTAGATTCATGATGTCAGATTTCCTTGAAAATACAGGGTGTGTGTGTGTGTGTGTGTGTGTCTGTGTCTGTGTGTGTGTGTGTGTGTGTGTTCTTGGCTCTGGGAGGGATTCCAGAAACTAGAACTATCCATCACCAAAGTGAGGAATCCAACATTTCAGAACAATAGCAGGAAACTCATCTACATGAGAAGAAATTAAAGCAAACACACCTTGGAGGACTCCAGGGAATCTGAACGATCTCTGCATTCTGCTGGGAATCTGAAGGCCAGCTGCACCCTCCCCTCAGGCGAGGGGCTTCATAATAAGCAGATTCTGAGGATCAGGCTTGAGCCGGCGGCAGGAGCACCCATCAGGGAAACATTTACACCCAGGCGACCTGGACACGTTTATTGAGACGGTTCACAGGGCCAGTGGGCACTGGGGTTCACACAAACCGGCCGACACGCATGGACCTGGAGCCACGCACCCTGGGGGCACCGCGCGAGCCCCTCACAACGTCTGTGCAAAGCCCTTCCAAGGCAAAGGGAAATCCAAGGCCCCACAGCCCATCCCCCTGGGTGACCACCTTGTCCAGAACACCAGGCAGGACAAACGCCGGTGGAGAAGGCCTTCTCCAGCTCATCTCTGAGGCACTGCCCACCTGTGGGTTCTAAATGCTTCTCCAAACCCTGTGGGCCCATGTGAAGCAAGGGGGAAAATTCAGAAAACGCATCCACAACAATAAAACAAAACAAAACAAAACAAAACGAACAATCTGCGCGGCACACAGATTTCACTTCCCGGTGTCCCTGACGGCAGGACCGCAGGGCTCACAGACGCCTTTGGCAGCTGGGAGCTCGGCACGTTGCCTCCCCGGCGTCCACAGGAAAATAGTCCTCGGTTCTGTACAACGCGGGCAGCTCGAAGGTCGGGGCCGCCGGCGTCCACAGCTTCTGGAATGACAGAAAACCAGGTGCCCCATCAGCCTCGTGAAGCCACTTGTTCTGAGACCCAAGAACTCCACTTGCGGGAGTTCATCCTGCAGGGAGACTAGTTGACCAAAGATTCCATGATTCTTTGGTGACACTGCCTGTGACAGCCAAAGCCGGCCCATTTGAAACGTGGTGGGGAGCTAGGTTGGCAGGGCTGGTCCGTGTCCACGGAGCCCTCCGCAGCATTAGAGAGAACCGGGCTCTGAGGAGGGATGACTGAGAAAGCCAGGTGTACCTCGTGCCACCTCGAGCCGAGACAGCGCCGTGGGCCAGGCCCTGGGAAAGCTGGGGTCGGGCCGATGCTTCTTTGAATGTGCGCCCATCTGTGCTGCCCGAAGCCTGGGCCACACACATGTGTTACTTTGTTTTTTTTAATTGAACCATTTTAAGAAGTGCTTACTTATTTCTGGTGTGGATTTTTGCTGCAGGGAGGTTAGGGAGGGGAGATTTTGCATCAAGCAACCCTCCTCAAGCTCTAGTAACCCTGCGGGTTACCCAGGCATCTCAAGGTCAAACCACTTTTACAGAGGACGGCCTCAAACAGTGCTTCTCAAATGTGACTGCACGGGGAACCTCCTGGGAGACTTATGGAATGCTTATGCCCAGGCTCCGCCCCCAGAGTCTGATGTCGTTGGTCTGGGGTGTGGCCTGGGCATCGGGGTATTTCAAAGCTCTCAGGTGATTCTCACGTAGAGCCAGGGCCGATCCCAATAACTGTGACCTGCTCAGAGGAGGGAGGGTCTGCTAGGCTCTGGGGCGGAACAGCAGGGAGATGGGCAGGAGTGTGGGGCTCCAGGGGTGCAGAGGGAGGAGGGCTCTGCACGTCTCCACCTGGGGTCCCTCTCACCACCCTTCCGCCCTCCCCCCGCAGCTCCGTCTACTGTTTGGTCTCCAGGCCACCTCTGCCCGCTCAGCCCAGAGCAAGCTCTGCCCCAGCCTTCAGCTGCAGTCACAGGTGCCAGCGCACAGGTGTGTGGCTCCAGCCCGTAGTTAATAACAGCTCCCCCAAAGCCCAGCCCGTCCACGAGCTCTGCGCTGCACTAGGTGTGTACTTACCCACCCCCATGCTTCTTCCCCACGGTGACACCGTGACCATCCCCCCTTTCGTGGGTGGTTGGGGGAGACTACGCGCCGGGAGGTGCCTTACCCACCTCCCACCTGTCCGAGTATCTGTCCACTCAACCACTAACTCATTGAATGCCCAGGGCCGGCCGAGGGCACAGCTGTGACGTAGACGCATCCCCAGCCATCATGGGCCTCCCTCTCTATCTGGAGACAAAGGAACCAATAGGAAAACACCACCAGCGTGCGCTGAAGCACCAAGGCCCCTGGAACCCGGAAGAGGCCCATCTCATCCCGGAGGGATCAGGAGGCATTCAGAGGCTCAGCACCTAGGACCCCAACCCCCGGCCGGAGGGGCTGCGTGGAGGGGGAGCCGGAGGTGCAGTGGACCGTGCAGTGGACCAGGCTGTGGACGCCCTGTGCACAGTGCTGAGTGGTGTGGTGGGCCGCGGGCACCGAGGCAGCTCAGTCTGGAGTCAGGCCGGGTCAGAGTGTAGACAGGGATGCTGCTGCAAAGCAGGGCCGGATGATGTGGGCTCCTGGAGGCTGAGCTAAGGGCTTTATCCTAAGAGACCAGGGACGGGGAGAGAGGGAGAGAGAGAGAGAGACAGAGAGAGAGAGAGACAGACAGAGAGAGAGAGAGAGAGACAGACAGAGAGAGAGAGTGTGTGTGTGTGTGTGTGTGTGTGTGTGTGTGTGTGTGTGTGATAAGTGTTTTAGAAAGAGCAGAGACTAGACTGTAGGGGAAACGGGACCAGAGTGGAAGCTGTTGCAGGTAGGCATCCCTTAAAGGTGAGAGTGGCTGGATTTGGGGTGAGAGTGAACAGATTCTAATGTCTGAGCCCCGAAGCCCTGAGCTACCGCACCCCCCAGCCCTCTCTCTGCTGCAGAAGGAAACCACAAAAGGGCTTCAGATAAGGTGGACCGCACTTGGGCACTCGGGTGTCTGGGGACCGCTTACCTCCCTGAGTCTCCACGCACATCTGGAAAGCTAGGACGAACAGTTCACCTTGGCCAAGGGTCTGCCTCCCAAAAGGGCACAGGGAACATTGAACCAGTCGGCCCCGGGTCAGCCACTCGGCTCAGCCCGCTTGGGGGATACTTGGGATGCGTTTGTCCCCCCTTCTCCCAGCACCTTCCCAGGGCTGCCACCCACCCCTGTGGGCTGGACTTGAGTCCTCTGACTGTGAGCGCTGTGACCAAAACACAACGGGGAAACGAGCCCCAAGATGCATCTCACAGCCTGAGGGATGCAGTCTGTGGATAAGCCATCGTTTTAGAATATCCTCACCCAGTTCCTCCTGAGAACTGGCCGTTGTAGTATCTAGAAAATGCAAGATTCAAGTAATGACAGTTCAAAGACCAGCTCCCTTGTCCTGACACAAGGCTTGGGGGCCAAAGCACATTGGTGATCCTGAAAAGACAGGTTCCTTTCTCTCCTGATCTCAGGACCCAGACAAGGCCTCACGGGCCCCAAGGGTGAGTGGCCAGGCCGGGCTAGAGCCGGTGTCCCTCTCCTGGAGATCCTGGGCCTCTGGACTCCCTGTTCTTTGTCAAATGGTTCTTCCAACAGGGATGGGGCTTCTGCCTCCTCCCTGAAGGAGACAGGCTTCCGAAAAAGGAGAAAATCCATATAATTATGAAGGAACCAAGGAGAAGTAATCCTAAGAGACTCCTTAGCAGCTTCAGATATAATCGTATCTTGAGTTCCAGCGAGATCTAATGCAAGCAGTGGTGGCGTCTTTGCTGGTGACGGAGTGGAAACGTCCTTCCCGCACTCAGAAAGCAAGGAGAAGGGGGACGCAGGGAGAGGTGAGCCTTGTGCCAGCGCCCAGCCAGGCGGCACTGTGGATTATTAGACAGCAGCTACGCGTGCTCGCCAGGACCCCACAGGGGCCCAGGAGAATGAGCCATTCCAAACGAGCTTGCTCCTTTTCAAAGGGGCCCCTAGCCGGGAAGGTGGCGAGGAAGGCCGCAGAGAGGCTGGTGCAGCTCTATGCTGGCCCTGGACCAAGCCCCTGCCAACATCTTGGGGCACGTGGAAGATCTGTGGGAAAGTGACTCACAGCTCATTGGAGATCTGGGCCTGCAGTCAGCCAGGAAGGGGGGCCCTGAGCTGAGCCGGGGGGCTCTGAATGTGGCCACTTCAGCCCCAAATGCTGCTCTTGGAGAGCGGGTGGGCATGGGAAGGGCGTGGGATGTTATCTCGGCCTGTGCAGCCTCCACGTCCCATTCTGGTATCGGCATCTTGGCCGTCTTGTGGAATCACTGCTGCCAGCTCCCCAGCGGAGCTGCTCTGCCCACCTCCACAGCTGAAGGATGAGTGAGAGGAGGCCTGACCCACCTGGGCCGTGATTGGTCCAGGAGTGAGCAGGTGACCCCAGCTCACCCAATGAGAAGCAGCCTTGGGACTCTGGCTCTTGGGACAGGGCTGCTTCCTGCCCCCGTCCCCCCTTCCCAGGTCCCAGTGAGGATGCGCCCGTGAGCCTGGCAGTCACTTCTGACACACTGAGGGGCCTGCCTGAGACTGAAGCCAACACAAGGAAGCCGAGTTGGGAGGGGAAGCAACAGAGTCCTGACAGTATCATTTGAGCACCTGAATCGAATTTTGCCCGAGGTTAGTGTCACCTTGGGACCTTTCCTGTTCTTGAGACCACGGGATTCTCTTCTTTGCTTAAGCCATGGTGACCTGGGCTGTTGTCACTTGCAACCAAGCCTCCTGCCTAAAGTGAAGAATAAATCCACGGACGAGCGCTTGGAAACCAGTGGCGGAATCGGCAGATGAGGGCCGGCGTGGGAGGCTAAAAGCAGCCCGAGGCCCCACATGTTGTCAGGGTAAAGCAGGACCACACACCGGAGGCCAGGCCCCAGTCGCAGGCACCCCGGACGCCAAGGGAACCCAGCCCTCTCACACCCAGGATGACCTGCAACAGGAGGAGTTGTCCCCATCTCAGAGGTCACAGGGGCCAGGGAACCACAGAGCCGGGGTCCACTCAGGCCTCTCCGGCTCCAGGTCCAGCCCCCGCCCATCGCCCTACTGGGCTCCTGCCTCGAGCCCAAATCCTGGAGAATCTCAGAAGGGACTTCAGAGAGCTCCCCCTTTCCCCCCTCACCTGCAGCTGGTACTGAGATTCTTCTCCAGGGGCGGCCAGGTAAGCCAGGAGGACTGTCCAACTCCCTGGCGCTTGCTCCAGGCTCCCACCCTCGCCTGCAGGTGGGAAGGTTCCACCAGCGGGACAGGACGGGAGGCACAGAAACCTGACACCACAGGTCCAGGGCTCGGCCGCCCTCCCTCCCAGTCCCCCACGCCCCCATCAGCCCGAGCTCCCGGTTGGAGGAGGGTCTCTGGAGCTGGGGCGCTGGGCCTGGCATGCTCTCCTGGGTCTACACAGCCTCCCCCATCTTCCTCACTTCCACCCCGGACCCCCGAGTTCCCAAACCTGCAGCCCACACACCAGATGCATGTGTGTGCTTGGTCGGCTGCATGGTTTTTAAAAACTGGAATTAACTGCAAACATGTAAAAAGTCAGCAGATTTCTCAGGAAAACCAGACTGCCAGCTAGCTACTCTTGGAAAATCAGATGATCTGGAAGCTCCCGGTGGCTGGGCAGAGGAGCTACGGGTGCTCCCCTGTGGGCCCCCGGGCCCACGGGGCCACGTCACCTTTCTGGAACCTGCCGCTTCCGGTGGTGGGTGCCTCGGGGTTGGCCCTCTGGGCTGTCTGCACCACCAAGCGGCTCCTTTCCTGAAAAAGCCCCCAGAGGGCTGTTGAAGCACGTGGCAAGGGGGAGCCTCGGGCCAGCCTGGCTTCGGGGTCTCTCCGCTGAAGCCCCCCAGTCGGATCACTGTCTGCCCACCCACCTCAGGGCCTGTGCCATCTGCCCACTCCTGCCCGCAGA